GGAGTAGCGGCGTGGTACCTGACTCAGCAGCAGCAGCAGCAGCAGCCCCTCCCCTCGCAGCAACCCCAGCAGCAGCAGCGGCAGCAGCAGGTTTTGGGGCAGGGGTCAGGACAGCGTCAGCTACAGCGCGGTGTCGTCCACCCTCCCTGCACCTATCACGTTCTGACAGGTGCTCGCCGGGGCCATCCTTGTGGCCGCACCCACCCACCGGGTCAGTGCTTTGCTCAGCTTACTGACACGGTTCGCTTGGCCTACGGCATTGATGGCCCTGCCCCTGACCGGCTTCCCCTTGTTCAGACGTACAGCTCTGCTCTATGGGGCATGTCGGCCTTTCAGTTAGTTGATCTCTTAGGAACTCCTCATGCTATGTATGCTGTTGTTGACTCTAGTGCTTCTGACTCTGTTTACTCGAGTGTTGTTAGCTTAGGTGCTAGTCTTGCTGAGGTGCCTGTTGCTAGTGTAGGTACTTGTGTAGACACTAGTCCAGGAGCTGCTTCGGAGGACGCTTCGCTGTCTTTCACTCTGGACTCTGGAGCTTCGCACTATTTCTTCCGAGACCACACGTCGCTTGCACCGCTTCCTGCGCCTGTCTCTGTGGCGCTGGCTGATCCCACTTCGGGACCAGTCACTGCTCGCTACACTACTACGCTTCCATGCTCGGCTGTTCCTTCCGGCTCTCTGATGGACTTCCACGTCCCCTCGTTCTCCAGGAACTTGGTGGGCGTGAGGCCACTCGTGAGTCAGCACGTGGGTGTGTGGATTGAGCCCTCTGGCGAGAATGCGGTTTGTGTCGACGGGGACTCGTACGTGCCCCCCGCCACCTTTACTGCTGAGCCAGGCTCCCGTCTCTACACACTTCACACTCGCCCCCAAGAGCAGCAGCAGCAGCACCAGCAGCAGCTGCAGCAGCGGCAGCAGCAGCAGCGGCAGCAGCAGCGCCAGAAGCAGCAGCTACTGCCCCCGACCCCTGTCACTGCCCCCCGTCAGGTCCCTGCGTCTCACCAGGTCGCCGCGTCCCCCCAGGTAGCTGTGTCTCTCAGGTTCCCGTGTCTGGTCTTGTTGCGGCGTCTTGCTCCTGCCGGTCGCTTGCCCACCCCACCGTTCTGTGGCACCACCAGATGGGGCACCCGTCCATTCCTCGTCTGCGCGCTATGTCTAGTCAGCGTCTTGTCTTAGGCCTCCCGCGTGTCTTGCCGTCGCTGCCGCCTTCGCTTGCACCACCGTGCGGTCCTTGCATCAAAGGTCTGCTGCGCGCCACCCCTCACTCCTCCTCCTTGCGTCCGGCCACCGAGCCTTTTGAGACTCTCCACTTGGACGTCTGGGGCCCCGCCTCTTGCCTTGTCCTTAAGCGTGAGCGTTTCTTTCTGGTGGTCGTTGACGACTACTCCCGCTACACCACAGTGTTCCACCACTTCTGAGGTGACTTCTACGCTGATTAGGTGGTTGCTTACCACTGCACACACTCAAGGTCGTTGTGTCAGCAATCTTCACTCCGACCGTGGGGGTGAGTTTCGCTCCGGCGTTCTCGCTGGATTCTGACGTGAGCAGGGCATTCGTCAGTCCTGGACGCTTCCAGAGTCCCCACAGCAGAATGGGGTTGTTGAGCGCCGCATAGGCTTGGTCATGGAGATCGCTCGCACCTCCATGACTCACGCCCGTGCCCCCCATTTTCTGTGGCCCTACGCGGTTCGGTACGCCGCTCACCAGCTGAACCTCTGGCCACGTGTCTCTCGGCCAGAGGTTTCACCAACCAGTCTTTGGACCGGGTCCCTTGGTGTTGCGTCGCGTTTTCCTATCTGGGGTTGCTTGGCACTTGTTCGCGACACCTCCGCGGACAAGATCTCGCCTCGCGCCCTTCCCACCACTTCCTTTGTTTCCCAGAAAACTCCTCTGACTTCACCTTTTACCACCCTCCCCTTCACCGGTTCTTTGACTCAAGTGACGTCCGTTTTGACGAGTCCGTCCCCTACTACGTCAGGTACCCCTGTCGAGGTCTCCCGGTTCCTCCTCCCCCTCTCTTCCTGACTTCCGCTCCCCCTCCTGCTCCCCCGGTACAGCCTCCCCCCCCTGGTCCAGCCCCGTCAGGTGTGTCCCACGCTACCCCTCCCCCCTCGGTGGCCCCCTAGGTGCAGTCTCCTTCCTTGCAATCCTCCTCACAGCCTACTGCAGACCCTGCGGGGGCCAGTGTTCGTGACGAGGACCTTGGGGGTGCTGGCTCTAGCGGAGTTGGAGTTCGTGTTGAGAGTGTACGTGTGCCGGGTCCTAGTTCTGGGGGTGCTGGAGTTGGAGCTGAGCCCATGGCTGAAGGAGACTCTAGTCTTCCGGGAGCTGGTGTTGGTCGAGCTGACCCTGGGGGTACTACGACTGAGGTTGCGGGTGCGCCTTCTACGGGCCCTGGTGAGTTTGACCGTGTTGTTGTTGGTGGTGTTGGCTCTGAGGGTGGCGTGTCTGGTACTTTGGAGAGCGGTCCTGGGGCTACCATCGCCCCGGAAACTACTCCTCCCACCCACCCCTACCCGACTCGGCACCAGGCTCGTGTTCGCCGTGCCCGTGAGGAGCAGCTGGAGTTGGAGAGAGAGGAGAGAGAGTTGGAGCGGCAGCTACTGGAGCTCCAGTGGCTGGAGGAGCAGCAGCAGCAACAACAACAACCGCAGCTGGAGCAGCCGCAGCAGCAGGAGCAGTGGTCGCTGCCGCAGCAGGAGCAGCAGCAGTCGCCCCCTCCTCCTCCTGTCTCTGGTCTTCGGACCCTCGGTCTCCCCTCTCCCTCTCCTTCCTCCTCCCCCTCTCCTCCCGTCTACGGTCCCACGTTTCCTCCTCCTGACTCCTCCCCTGCTGTTTTTTCCCTCGTTCTCAGCCTCCGTTGTCCCCTCCTCCTTCCCACACTTGACCCTCTCGTCGCTCTCCTCGTGCTCGTCCCTCGTCCCCTGTCCCTCTCACTGACCTTCGTACTATCATGTTCCGTCCTAGTCCACCTCGTTCGTCTCCGCCTGTGCCTTCTTCTCCTCCTGAGTCGGCCCTCACTGCTTCCCTCTCTACTCCTGTCACTGACTACTACCGCACGTACCGTCCTGTTCTCTCTCGTGTTCTCGCCTCTCTTGTTACCGACCCTCATGCCTCTCTCTCGCGAGGGAGTTGACTTCTTTCAAACCTTCGCGCCTACCCCGAAGATGACCACTCTTTGGGTGTTACTACACGTAGCAGCACAGAGAGACTACGAGCTACACTCTCTTGACTTCTCCACTGCTTTTCTTCAGGGTAGCCTACACGAGGAGGTCTGGTTGCGTCATCCCTCTGCCTTCACTAGCACTTTCCCTCCTGGGACCCAGTGGAGGCTGAGGCGACTGGTCTACGGTCTCCGTCAGGCTCCTCGTGAGTGGCACGACACCCTTCGTTCTACCCTGTCTGACCTTGGTTTCCAGCCGTCCTCGGCCGACCCGTCGCTGTTCGCTCATCGTTGATCCACACTGTTCTTTGTTCTCGTCAAGGTCGACGACCTGGTATTTGCCACTGCTGACAGGGTTGCTTTGGCAGACGAAAAGTCTGAAGTGCAGAAGAGACACACGTGCACTGACCTTGGTGAGCTGCGCCACTACCTTGGCCTGCAGATCACCAGGGACAGAGTTGCTCGCACCATTACACATGGTGCAGCAGGTCCTTTAGCGGTTCGAGCTTCAGCACTCCACAGTACAGCGCACACCACTTGCAGTTGACCACAGACTCACTGGACCCTTTCCTGACGAGCCGTTTGAGCCTAGTGGTCCTTACGCAGAGCTGGTGGGCTGCCTCATATACCTGATGAGTTGTACCTGCCCGGACCTTGCCTTCCCTCTCAGCATCCTTGCTCGCTTTGTTGCGCTAGGGAGACACCGTCCTGTTCACTGGACGGCAGCTGTGAGGGTGGCGAAGTACCTAGCAACGACATCAGGCGTGGGGCTAGTTCTTGGAGGGCAGCAGTCTGTCGTACTTACTGGTCACTGTGACTCTTCTTACGCTGACGACACTGAGACTCACAGGTCTACTAAGGGGTACTGTTTCAGCCTGGATTCTAAAGCTGTTTCGTGGAGGTCCACGCGTTCCTCCTCGGTCTCGACCTCTACCGCTGAGGGTGAGATCTACGTCGGTGCCATGGCGGCACAGGAGCTGCGTTGGTTGACCTTCTTGCTCGCCGACCTTGGTGAGCGGCCGAGCTCTGCACCGACCTTGTTCACTGACAACAAGGCGACGATTCTCCTCTGTCGAGAGCCGCAACTGGAGAGCAGAGTGAAGCACATTAATGACAGGTACTTTCTTCTATGAGAGTTGCAGAGACGTGGACAGGCTCGCTTCAAGTTTGTGGAGTCCGAGGCCAACACTGCAGACATCTTCACCAAGGCGCTTCAGCCTTGTGATCACCAGAGGTGTTGTGTGCAGTTAGGCCTTGTTGACACAGGTTCTCGTCGTGTGTAGACTTGAGTTCTCTGCTTTGCTTGTACACTTTGCTTATATCTTTGTGAACTCTTGGACTGGCCTTGTGGCCTCTTTTGCTTGCGCTCAGGGTGTGTGGTGACGTTGTGATCCACCCTGAGCTTTGTCAGAAACTGATGAGGAGAGAATGATACATTGAGCAAAAAAGTGGGTACAATTACTTACCCTAATTTGGGTTGTACCCCTTATGGGCTACCCCACTACAGCCTACACAGCAAAAACATCATTACAGTTTCGCGAACACACCCCCATAAGCAAAGTGGGGGAGAACAAGTGGACACGAGACCAGTCAAGAAAAGCAAAGCAAGCTCAGGGTGGATCACAAAGTCACCACACATTCTGAGCAAAATCAAATGGCCACAAGGCCAGTTCACATGCAGAGTTATATAAAGGAGGGCAAACAGTACAGGGATCACTACCTAGCAAGGGTAAGCATGAATGTGTATATATATATATTTATATATATGTATATAAATATATATCACAATACAAGAAAATTCACACAGTGAGCAAGTGAGACGAAGCAGGCACAAGACCTAACGCAGTACAGAGACGCTGATGATCACCAGGCGGAAGTGCCTTGGTGAATATATCAGTAGTGTTGGCCCGAGTGGCCACGTAAGCAAGACGAAGCTGACCACGCTGCTGCAGCTCTCGAGCAAGGAAGTAACGATGTGCTTCGTTCTGTGCTCCAGTCTGTGCTCTTGACACAAGGCAATAGCGACCTTATTGTCGACGTACATAACTGGAGGAGAACGAGGCCGCTCTCCCAAGTCGGTCAGCAGGTAGGTGAGCCAGCGTAACTCCTGCGCAGCCATGGCTCCTGCGTAGATCTCAGCCTCACAACTCGAGCTGAGAATAGAAGAAGAGCAGGTAGACCGCCAAGAAACAGAGCCGGAACCAAGGCTGAACGTGTAACCCTGAGACGACCGCTGCGTAGCCTGGTCGTCAACCCAAGAGGCGTCTGAGTGTCCAGTGAGGACAATGTCACCCCGTCCTCCAAGCACCAGCCCCATGCTTGATGTACTGCACAAGTAGCGCAGCACCCTCTTAGCAGCCTCCCAGTGCTCTCGCCTGTGTCTCCCAGGCGCAACGTAGCGAGCCAGGATGCTAAGAGGGTACGCAAGGTCAGGACAAGTGCAGGTCATCAGGTACATGAGGCAGCCCACAAGCTCTGGGTACGGGCCACTCGGCTCTACGGACTCGTCCGAAGGTGGAGCTAAGAGCGAGTGACCGGTAGGCAGAGGAGTGGACTGTGGTGAGGAGAACTGGAAGCCGAAGTATTGAAGGACCTGCTGCACCATGTGTGACTGAGTCAAGGTGATGGTGCGGCGTGCTCTGTCCCGGGTGATCTGCAAGCCAAGGTAACTGCGCAGCTCACCCAGGTCTGTGCACGTGTGTCTCTTCTGCAACTCCGACTTCACAAGGGCGAGTGCCTCAGTGTCAGCAGTGGAAAAGACCAAGTCGTCGACGTACACGAAGATGTAGAACGGCGGTAGAAAAGTGTCGGCGCGGAGAAACAGCGACGGGTCAGTAGTGGAAGGAGCAAACCCAAGAGCCGCAAGTGTCGTCATAAGTGTGTCATGCCACTCACGAGGCGCCTGGCGGAGACCGTAGACTGGCCGCCGGAGGCTCCACTGGGTACCAGGAGGGAACGACCTAGTGAAGCCAGGTGGGCGGCGCAGCAAGATCTCCTCGTGCAGGCTGCCCTGTAAGAACGCTGTGCTGAAGTCAAGAGAGTGAAGCTCGTAGTCACGCTGAGCGGCAACGTGCAACAGCACCCGAAGAGTGGTCATCTTTGGGGTAGGGGAGAAGGTCTGGAAGAAGTCAACTCCCTGTCGCTGACTGAAGCCTCGAGCAACGTAACAAGCCTTGAAGACAGGCGGAGAACCCGACGGCCGCTTCACCCTGAAAATCCACATGCCATCAACTATGTTCGCCCCAGGAGGGGGAACCTCGTCGACGTAGGTGCCTGTGGACTTCCAGGATGCCATCTCTGCGTCCATGGCTGTCTGCCACTGAGAGGAGTAGGGACCCGTAATCGCCTCTGCGTAAGAGCGCGGGGTCGGGATGTCCAGTGCATCCGGGTCTCCCTCAGGCGCAAGCAGCCAGGCCACGAGATGAGGTACAGCAGCCGCAAGACACTCAAAGTCCTCCGTGCCAAGAGCACACTCACCCCCGACGGACGGAGGACAGACAGACTCAGACTCAGCAACAAGACTAGCGGCGTAGTCTAGACGACACGCAGCAGCAAAGTCCACAAGCTCAGCAACTAAGGCAGACGCAGCAATAGACTTAAACGATGGGTCAGTGACGACTGTGGCCAGGAGACGCGTGACAGTGAGACTGGCAGCACGAACTAGGTCAAACTCAGGGTCTGGAACGTCAAGAAGACAGGACGTAGGAGGAGACGGCAGAGGGACACGCTGTGGAACAGAGGAAGGACGAAGTGCCATAGTGTGAGTACCTGGCAAAGGAAGAGGACGCGGACTATGGTTACGACGAGCACGACGAACAGTGCGAACAGGGGAGGCAGGACGAGACGCAGGCTCACAACGCTCTGTAAGGGAGACCGGCTGCTCAGTGTAACGAGGGGGGGCAGGCAGCGGTGAGTCAGGAGGAAGGGCAGTGGACGAAGGAAGACTAAGAACCTGACGGAGCACCGACTCGGGCGGAAGCTCGGACAGCTGCGGCGGCGGCAAGAAAAACGGTCGCTGCTGCACAGGGTCTCCAGCTCCAGCGCCTCCAGCGCCAGCACCTCTAGCTCCATTGCTCCAGCGTCAGTGCCTCCAGCTCCAGCGCCTCCAGCGCCAGCACTTCCAGCTCCAGTAGCTCCAGCGTCAGTGCCTCCAGCTCCAGCGCCTCCAGCGCCAGCACCTCCAGCTCCAGTAGCTCCAGCGTCAGTGCCTCCAGCTCCAGGGCCTCCCGCTCCAGTGCCACCAGCGTCAGGACCTCCAGCTCCAGCACCTCTAGTGCCAGTACCTCCAGCTCCAGCGCCTCCAGCTCCAGCGCTTTTAGATCCAGTGCCTCCAGCTCCAGCACCTCCAGCTCTAGTGTGACTCCGAAGGCTGGTGCGCCGGGCAAGCCACTCGCGCAGCTGCTGTGGTGAGAGGGGCTCACGCTGGGGAGACCACTGCGGACAGGCTCCCGGAAGACCACCAGCAGAAGCAGCACCACCCGGCTCAGCACCCCCAGAAGCAGCACCCCCAGGCTCAGCACCCCTAGGCTCAGCACCCCCAGGCTCTACACGCTCACGCGTAGTACCCCCAGGCTCTGCACGCTCAGGCTCAGCACCCCCAGGCTCCGCACCCACAGGCTCAGCACCCCCAGACGTAGCACCTCGAGCAGGACCACCCCCAGCAGCACCTGAGTCACCAGAGACCTCGACAGGCTCATTCAAGGGAAGTGGGTCTACCTGAGAGACACCTGAAGGAGCAGGACCCTGAGGGGGGAGGGGGTCTACCGGAGGGGGACCTGGAGCAAGGAAGAGCGGGGGAAGGGGGGGAGAGGGGTAGTGCGGTAGGGGAAGAGACGGTAGAAGGGAACCGACTCGTCAAACGTGACGTCCTGAGAGGGGAAGACACGGCGCGAGGTGGGGTGGTAAAACTGCCAGCCAGGCGCGTCAGGGGGAAAGCCAAGGAAGACGCAGGGAATGGCGCGAGAGGAGAGCTTGTCCGCGGTGGTATCGCGAACAAAGGCACGAGAGCCCCAGACCCGGAACCGTGACGCATCGCGAACCTTCCCCATCCAACACAGTGCGGGCGAGGTCTCCGGCAAGGAGACACGGGGCCAAAGGTTGAGCTGACGCGCGGCGTACCGGACCGTAAACGGCCACAGAAAATGGGGAGCAGCCGCATGGATCATGGAGGTACGGGCCACCTCCATGACTAAGCCAATGCAGTGCTGAGCAACCCCATTCTGCTGCGGTGAGGCCGGAAGCGTGAACGACTGGAGGATGCCCTCCCCCTGACAAAAGTCCCGCAAGAGGTCGGAGGAGAACTCACCACCTCTATCAGAGTGCAGACGCAGGACGGGAAGGTCCGTACGGAACCGCTCGCACAGTGGAGACGTACAGCGCGGATCCAAGGGATCAAAACAGCAGGGACCTCACCCTTGCTGCGCAAGGGGAAGACCGTGGTGTAACGCGAGTAGTCGTCGACAACCAGCAAAAAGTACCACTCGCAGCCCAGTCCAGTGACGCGGGCTGGGCCCCACACGTCCATGTGGAGAGTCTGCAGGGGAGCAGTCGTCGAGGGAAACGAGGAGGAGTGAGGAGCGGCACGCTGCCGCCCCTCGACGCAAGGAATGCAGGGCGGGGCAGGCGAGGGTGGGAGGGAAGGAAGAGACCTGGGAAGACCAGAGACAAGGAGGTGGGAGTGCATGCCACGGAGGCGTGGCAAGGAGGGGTGACCAAGGCGGTGGTGCCAAAGGAGAGTCTGGTGCGACAGGTGACGACACTCGCAGGGGGGAGCTACCTGACCTGGCCAGATGCAGCAACCTGAGGAGGCTCAGTAGTCAGTGTGTACAGACTCGACCCAGGCCGACGGGTGAACGTGGCCAGGTGGCGGCCCGTCCGGGAGCACGTGCAGATCGCCACACGCTGGCCTCCAAGGGTAAAGGTATTAACCCACTCATCCTGAAGGGCCGCGATGACCACTCACCAAGTTCGTGGAGAACGAGGGGAGGTAGAGACCTGACAGCGAGCCAGACGGAACCGCCGGACACGGGAGCACAGTGGAGGAACGTGCAAGAACCGGACCCCCAGAGGGGTCAGCCAGGGAGACCGCAACCGGTCTAGGGAGTGGTGTGAGTGTAACAATGTCGCGAAAGAAACAGCGGGAAGCACCTGAGTCAAGCGTGAAGGTGTGCAAGGCCTCAGCAGACGCAGTACCAGAGAGAGCAGACTCACTAGCACCTAGAGCAGCAGCCTCTATACCTGGGTCGGGCGGCACACACAAGTAATAGTCACCCTTAGTCAAAGCATACATGGCAGTGAGGATAGCGTCATAGTCTAGAGCAAATATATCCACTCTGTCCCAAAGCAGCTCTAGCCAGCGAGGGAGCTCAGCCTCGTCGCCAAACTCTGCGCGCCAGGCGTCGCTCAGATAGGCGAAGCAGTGGGACTGTGTGTGGCCAATCGTCCCGCAAGGCTGACCAGCCCGATCACCTGTGCGGATGACGTACGAGCAATGAGCAGTACTCCGAGTCGTCTCACGCTGAGAGTACCACTCACGAAGCTGCTGGGACGTAAGGGTCTCGCGCGGACGCCGCTGCAGCTGCATCTGGCCACTGCCAGAAACTCCCCACTGAACAGCTCCACCGTGACTACTACGACCACCGCCGCCACCACTCCCACTGCTGCCACCATTGTCGCCACCACTCCCACCGCTACCATGAAGAGGAGTCATAGCGGGCAAAGCATGGAGGCGGATGACCAGCAGGGCAGCACAGAGGGAAGGCAGGGCGGAGAGCGGGCAGGGCAGGGCATTGCGCTCGCGCAGGGCAGGGCCGGGCGCGCGGGCAGGGCAGGGCGGTGCGCGCGGGCAGGGCAGGGCAGGGCGTGCAGGCAGGGCAGGGCCGGGTGCGTGGGCAGTGCAGGGCCAGGGCGCGCAGGCAGGGCAGGGCCGGGCGCGTGGGCAGGGCAGGGCCGAGCACGTGGGCAGGGCAGGGCGTTGCGCGCGGGCAGGGCAGGGCCGGGTGCGCAGGCAGGGCAAGGCCGGGCGCGCGGGCAGGGCAGGGTCAGGGCGCCCGGGCAGGGCAGGGCCAGGGCGCCTGGGCAGGGCAGGGCCATGGCGCCCGGGCAGGGCAGGGCCGGACGCGCGGGGAGGGCAGAGGCAGCGCGAGGGCTGCAGGGGCGGCGCGCGGGGCTGCAGATGGCAGTGCGTGGGCTGCAGGGGTGGCGCGCGGGGCTGCAGAGGCAGCGCACCGGTTGCAGTGGTGGCGCACGGGGCTGCTGAGGCTGCACGCGGGCTGCAGGGGCGGCGCGCGGGTCTGCAGAGGCAGCGCGCGGGGCTGCAGGGGCGGCGCGCGGGCAGGGCCTCAGATTTCAGGAATTTTACCCTGATTTCCTGAAGTTTGACCCCAGTTTTTTATTGTGACCCTGATCTATCTGCCTTTTTCTTTTTACAACCCTGATGAATCAGTGTTTTATGTTTCCAAGAACTGATTTTCCAGTGTTTCCTGTTCGACGACACTGACGAGTCAGTGTTGTATCGGAGACGACCCTGAAACCGAAAACTGCGTGATTCTCGCTGTTTTGTGCGCCGTCATCATTCATGTACCCACCCTGCACCGACGCCACCATGCGGCTCGCCCAGATACAGCTGAACGGGGTAATTTCGTGCTGGGTTGGCAAAACGGCGCAAAGAGATTGGCTGTCCAAGCTGATGCAAACGTCGCAAAGAGATTCGCTTTTTTTGAAGTTATTTTAAATGTAGCTGTAGATTCACTGATCAGTGTTTTCTTACAAGGCACCCTGTTTGATCAGTGTTTCTTTTTCAACAACCCTGAGAAATCAGTGTTTCTCCACAGGCAACCCTGATGATCAGTGTTACAGCCCCAAGGGACCCTGAGTGCTCAGGGTCACCCAAAACGAATCTGAGGCCTTGCGCGCGGGGCTGCAGGGGCGGCGCGCGGGGTTGCAAGGGCGGCGCGTGGGGCTGCAGTGGCAGCGCGCGGGCTGCAAGGGCGGCGCGCGGGGCTGCAGACAGGAGGCGCGTGGGCTGCACGGGGCGGCACGCGCGGGCGGCACAGGGCAGGGCAGGGCGTGGGGTAGCGCGGTAACCGCAGTCGGTCACTAAGCTAATGGTGGGCCCGAAAAGAAAAGAAAAGAAAAGAAAAAAAAACGGTCCTACGGACCTATTCCTCTGAAACCATGTCAGAAACTGATGAGGAGAGAATGATACATTGAGTAGAAAAGTGGGTACAAGTACTAACCCTAATCTGGGTTGTACCCCTTATGGGCTACCCCACTACAGCCTACACAGCACAGACATCATTACAATTTGACAAGCTTTGTTTCTTTGTGACTGGTCTTGTGACCGTACACTTTTGGTTTTGCTTGACACCCCTCACTTAGACTATGGGGGTGTGTCAAATGCTGTAGTCTTAGTGATGCGTCTCATAGGGGGTACAACTCTTAGGGTTAGGTTTATGTACCCCAACCAACATTGTGAATGCAACACTTTCGATTCTAACACCTTTCCCCTTCCATTTGTTCCTATTTGTACTCCCAACTCCATAATGAAACCCTCTTCTTTGACCAAACCTCTCAATACCATCTCCCTAACTCCATCTTCCAAGCTCCTATTCTTAACAGTTTATGTCTGTCAGAATACCAAGCAGGAATGAAGAACAGAAGAAGAAGAGGAGGTGCACTAGCAGGCAGAGGGGATACAAATAGGAAACCCTAACAGGGCTGTACTCACTATTGAGTACCCCACTGCAGACTAGACAATTATAGCATTCTGACACACCCCCATAGTCAAAGTGGGGTATAATCAGCACAACAAGCAGTCATAGAGCAAGTTCACAAGCACAAGCAAAGCTAGTGGGAGACATAGAGGACTTGTGAGGAGGAGGAGGGACTGTGAGAGGAGAGGAGATTGGAGGCGGCGGCTGAAGCTGCTGGCACACGGGCTACTGGGGCAACTGGCACACTGGCTACCGAACACGCGAGGGCATCCGGACTACTGGAGTAACTGGCTCCGCGGCTACGACGAGCGGCTGGAGCAACGGACCCACGGGCGACTGGCGCAACGGGCTCGCTGGCTACCGGAGCAAGGACACGACCTTCCCGGACTACTGGCGCTGCTGGCTCCACAACGGCTACCTCCGTTCAACCTCCCCCACTGTCGCAGACTCCCTTTCACACACACCCCTATGCACCCCTAGCGCCAATCCCACGGCACCCCCCTAGCGCCACTCCCTCGGCTCCCACACACCCACCCCCCTCAGCGGCAGCTGCAGCAGTGGGAGAGAGAGGAGGAGGAGGAGGAGCAAGGGACGACTAAAACACCCGCCACCCCCATACTCGCCACCCCCATACCCTCCACCCCACGGCTGCACGCGCAGCAGGGAGAGGAAGGAGAAGGGGGGGGGGGGGGGGGGAGAAGCTGCCCCGCGCTGCCCCGCAGCGCGCGGGTCCACAGAGCAGCGCGCGCAGGTCCCCTGGGGTGACACATGGGTCGACGGGGCAGCGCGCGCGGGTCCCCTGGGGCGACGCGCGGGTCGACGGGGGCAGCGCGCGGGTCAACGAGGCAGCGCGTGCGGGTCCCCTGGGGTGACGCGCGGATCGACGGGGGCAGCGCGCGAGTCGACGGGGGCGGCGCACGGTTCAACGGGGGCGGCGCGCCGAGCAAAAAACCGCCGCGCGCCCGGGGCTCACGGCGGACAGAAAACGTCGCGCGCCCGGGGCGCGCGACAGGCAGGAAATGGTCACGCGCCCGGGGGGCGCGACTGGAAGAACAGCAGCGGAAGTTAACGGTGGGCCCATCCACAGGATCGACCAGGGAGGGTCGTCCTGCTCTGATAGCGTGTCAGAATACCAAGCAGGAATGAAGAACAGAAGAAGAAGAGGAGGTGCACTAACAGGCAAAGGGGATACAAATAGGAAACCCTAACAAGGTTGTACTCACTACTGAGTACCCCACTGCATACTAGACAATGTAACATTCTGACAATGTCTTTAACATGGAGTGTCTGCAATTGTTTGCATGTTTTAATAGACGGCATTCGAAGTGTTTTTTTTTTCTTTCTTTCTTTTTGTATTTGCTACGATCAGAGAATGATCGCTTACCAGGATCTACTCGGGAAGGTTCGCACGTGGGTAGATAGTTGGTGGGCCCTTGATCTCAATAGCAGAGTGAATGTAAAATGCTTGAGAT